ATGTCGAACTCGACGGGCAGCTTCGAGTCCTGCGAGTAGCCCACCTCCGCCCCGTTGACCCAGACGTACACCGCCGATGTGACAGCGCCGAGGTGGAGATAGACTGGGCCGGCCGCGGGGTCCCAAGGCATGTCGACGGCGGTGCGGTACTCGCCGCACGGGTTGTAGCGCGCGCCGGGCTCGCGGCCCTTGTACGCGATCGCGGGCGGGTTGTGCTCGAACGGGTACTGCACGTTTGTGTAGATTGGAAACCCGTGGCCCTGCAGCTCCCAGTTGCCGGGCACCTCGATCTCGCCCCAGCCGCTGTCGTCAAAGGTCGGCGCGGCGAAGTCTCCCGACGGCACACCGTTGGCGGGCGCACTCTCGGACCAACGGAAGTGCCACCTTCCGTTGAGCGAGAGATATCGACCGCTCTGTGCTCTGCCGGCGAGCGCCGCCTCCCTGCTCTCCGCTGCGCAGTGCGACGCGCGCGCCTCCTCTCTGCCGATGCCGAAGCACTCTGGGTTCTCCCACTCGGCGGGGCGACGGCCCGACGCGACGGGCAGGGCGCTGCTGCCGGTGAAGACGGGCAGGGCGCTGCTGCTCATGGGGAGCACCTCAACCTCTCACAGGCCCCCCCCCCCCCCCCCCCAGGGGACAGGGGCATAGGAGGGATTTTTCTTCTCAATAACAAGGCTGTGAACAGCGCGCAACGGTCGCGCCCACCTGCCACCTCGCCTCGCCGGGTGGATCCCGCTCGCGGCGGTCGCCACCATCCCTGGGCACCGCCACTGCCCCTGTCCCTGCCGCCGCCGTCGCCTTCCGATTCCTCCCCACCGCCCGGGCTGATCCGCGGGGTGCAACGCCCCCCACGTACAAACATGGGCACACACCTCGGCATCGCCGATCCTGATGCCGCCGCCGCCGTCCCTGTCGCCCCCGCTTCCACCCACTTGCTTTACTGCCGACTCCAAGCGGGAGGCAGCAATAGCACGCAGACGAACCCTGAGAGAGAACGTCTTGGCCTGTCCGAGGGTTTCCGGCAACCCAGAGGGAAACCAGAGGGTCCCCAGCACTTTGCGTTTCCGGAAGTTTCCAGGGAAACCAGAGGGTGTTTGGTGCTCCATTCTGTTTCTCTCGAGTTTCCCTCGGGAAACTCGCGCGCGAGTTTCCCTGAGTCTGAGAGCTGGTCTGCAGCTGGTCTGGGGCAAAATCTGGGGCAAAATTGAGGAAATCGGCACGATACCCAGGTATTTTCCAGGTATACCGGGGTTTTCCAGGTATACCCGCAAAATACCCGGTATTTTGCCGATTTTGGCCCCAAAACAGCCTCAGACACGGCTCAGAGCCCCCCCAAAATGACGAATTCCACGGAGTTTCCCCGGGGTTTCCCGAGGAAACTAGAGGGTGTTGTAGGGAAACGAGCAGGAAACACGGAAAGGAAACCAGGTAGGGTGCGAGAGGAAACCCTCGGACAGGCCAAAGAACGTCGCCATCGTGTAGCAGGCAGGCCTGGCTAGCCGCGTGTTGGGGAGTAGTGTTTGTGTGTGTGGTGTACTCTCTCTCCACTCAGTGTATAGTGAGTGAGCAGCGCACGATAAACAGCTGAAAAACCTCGAAGCCCTGGGCGCCCTCCCCCTAGGGATCCCCTATTGTGATGTTAAGTGTGGGTGGGTTAAGAGGGAGATTCGCGCGAGCTGCGGGACCGCCGGGACGGCGGGCGGGTGATTGCGACTCGCCGCCGCTTTTGGCGACTTTTGGCGACTTTTGGGACGCGCGATCGACCGGCGAGAACGATATGGCGGGCGAGGCCGTCACGGCCATGATCGTGGCTGCTGACGCCGGTGACAACCCGCTGGCGGACCGCCGCGAGGACCGGGAGGCGGCGGCGGCGCGGGAGAGGAAGGCGAAGGTGGCGAAGCTCAACTCGCAGACGGCGAACGCGATGGAGGTGGTGCGGGCGCAGCAGGCCGCGAAGGAGCGGGGAGCCTTCGATCCCTACTTGTAAAATTCTAAAACGAGAGAGAGTTGTTTTGTTTAAATTCTAAAACGACGAAGCGCTCTCTGTGGCTTCCAATCATTGACCTCAAGGCCTGGACCTCTAGGTGTCGTCCCGACGATGTCGGGCTCCACGGACTTCACCCTGTGGGGCCTCGCAGAAGAAGGGTCGGCAACCTATAAGTTCGCGCTCCTGCCGCCGCAGCATAAGCGGGCATGCTTGACGCCTGTCATGCTCTGCTCCAACAATTCGGGCGAGGAGGCCTTTGTCACGACGATATTTGACGAGGATGGCACCAACGAGCTCGACCAAGAGCGCGGGCGGCAGAGCGCAAGCGAGCGGCTG